CAGAAACTTCTTGGAGATGGGGTAGTAAACATGGCTCCCAGAGCAGGCAGTGAACATTCCTCTGCACCTCCACCAAGAAACTAGACTCTCAGGGAGCCAAGAGGGAGGAGCCAGCACCAGCATGCCGTGATCTAAGTTACACAGCAGTTTTTTGTGTTTTTGTTTTTGTTTTTTGGTTTTTTTTTTTTTGTTGTTGTTGTTGTTTTTGCTCATGCAGATAGAAAAGGCTACAGATGCTCAGTAAAGAGATTCAGATGGAAAAAAAAAACCCTCAAAATGGGTTACAATGTGATTAAAAATGTACAAAGGCTTGGGAGAGAAAAGAAAAAGAGAATAGAGCCATAGAAAAAGAAAAATATAGTTTTAAGATAAAGCCCTTAAAATGAGAGTAAAGTAATATAAAAGAAAATAGCCACGTAAAGATGAGAAATACACAGTCTGGATACTGTATGTTACTCTGTTGTCTTTGAATTGTTCGCCTGCTGGGGAAGGAGCAACAGCTGCCAAGAGACATTTGATTATAGATGCTGCTGGATTAAATCAACCTACGTATTTTAAAAATACCTTGACTTCAAAATGGAAGTCAAACGGTATGTTACATTGGGAAAGAGATTCTGCTTTTATTTCCCCAGAAAATAAAAGGCTATGGACTCATTCCAGGTTAAAGATGATCAGGTTTGATTGATTAAGAGCCCCTGAAATCTTGACTATAGACATAAAAAATAAACCTAAAAGAACTACAAGACAGAGCTGGAGAGATGGCTCAGTGGTTAAGAGCACTGACTGCTCTTCCAGATGGACCTGAGTTCAGTTCCCAGCACCCACATGGCAGCTTAAAAAACTGTCTGTAATGTCAGTTCCAGGGAACCTAAAACCCATGGCAAAACACTAATGCACATTAAAAAAATATAAAAATTTAAAAAAAAAACTACAAGACACATGATGTATATTTTACCTGCTCAAACATATAACAAAAAATCATCTTTGGCTGACTTGTGTACAATGAAGAGTCTGTACTTTTATTAATACAGATATGAATGTTACCTTTAAATGTTACATATTTTCAGAGCAAGGGGACCAGACACCAATAAAAATGGCTCAGGTGATCCAGCATCCAAAACAGCTTCAAGGCTGCTGACTGAGATGATCCAGCCACACAGAATACTCTAATCAGGACTTGACCATAAACCTAAATTTTCTCAGAGTCCCCCAAAGATCAGCACCCCCAACCAACAGGAAGTAGTCTAGAGAACTACACCCACATTCCCCCCCCCAAAAAAAATGGGTTATGGATGTATATTATCATTTAAGGGGGATTGCTTACAAGTTGTTACTGGTAATGGTGAGGAAAAGAGCTGAACAAAGGAGATTAGATTCTGTGATCTTTCTGAAAAGAAAAGAGGGGAGATAGAAATGATACGATAAATGATAAAAGGGTAGAATACTGAATCTACTTTAATGCAAAAAACAATTATTAATCTTAAGTGTTTTACATTGGTATGGATTTTGGTTTCTTGATACAAATATAAAGTTAATTTTGTTATACCGTATGTATATTTCTACTCTTGTTTAAGATATTGTGTTTATGCAGCTCATTTAAAATGTAATGTATAATTTAAAATACAGATTAATAGTCATCCATAATAGTCAAACTTATAGTCACGTTAGGTATATTTTCAAAGTCATACACAGATATATTTAGATAGATAAATGGTCCTCAAACACGTCAAAGATTTATAGAATATAGAATTTAATATGTTTAATGACCTAAGGCTTTTCATGACAGTGAGACATGTCTGCTCCTGGCAGCACCAATCTACTTCAGAGAAGATGGTGGGAATTGAAGAAACTCTGTATGGAGTTTATTTTCTTTATGGCAAAAGCTATCAATGTGGGCAAAGAAACTGCCCTTGCCTCAATTGCTGACAGTTAATGTTTAAACTGGACCAGCAGGATACAAGAAAGGTGACTGCTGAACTTTGCCAAGACAAGGTAAGACAGTCCTTCAAAATTCCCTCTTCACAGAAAGTTTGTCAGATATGCTAGGCCTGTAGGCCAGAGTTGGATGCTCCAACATTACAGAGAAACTTTGGGTGACTATCTAGGAAGTCTGATGTGCCTATCATTTGGTAACATTTTACCCTTCTGGGGTCTTTGATGGAGTTGAAGACTAAACAGTTATAATTATAGTTTTTCTTAGTTATGATGAAAAGGTAAATTAGATATAAAACTTTAGATTCACTAAGGTAAGATAAATAATTATTTTCTCTAATTTTTCCAAATAAAAATGGACTGGATATTATAATTTTAATTCTTACTTGATAACTATTTTTGTTATATACAGTTTTACTATGTTAAGGTTAAAACCTTCCTTTTTAATTAGACAAAAGGGGGGGAAAGGTGTGGGATGATCCTTCTGTACACTGTGAACATGTATAACTGTCATTGGTTAATAAAGAAGCTATTGCTGTCTGGGGGCCAGGCTCCAACAGCACAGTGCTCAAAGGGAAATCCACAGTGTTGGCGGGTACTAGGCTTTCCTATCTGAGGGAGTTAGGGAAAAAGACACTCACACTCTCTTGATGGTGAATTTCCTTCAGACCTTTTCTTAATTCTTCTTTTGCATTTTCTATTCTTTATTTTCCTAGTGATTTCCTTTTCTCATTCTTGATGTTTTCCTTCTTTTTTTAAAAAATTTTCTCTCTTTCTGACATGTTTTTCTTTTCTTTTCTTTTTTTTTTTTTTTTTTTTTTTTTTTTTTTGCTTTTTTTTTTTTTTTTTTTTTTTTTTTTTGGTTTTTCGAGACAGGGTTTCTCTGTGTAGCTTTGCGCCTTTCCTGGAATTCACTTGGTAGCCCAGGCTGGCCTCGAACTCACAGAGATCCGCCTGGCTCTGCCTCCCGAGTGCTGGGATTAAAGGCGTGCGCCACCACCGCCCGGCTTTTTTTTTTTTGCTTTTTGAGACAGGGTTTCTCTGTGTAGTTTTGGTGCCTGTCCTGGATCTTGCTCTGTAGACCAGGCTGGCCTCAAACTCACAGAGATCCTCCTGGCTCTGCCTCCTGAGTGCTGGGATTAAAGGCATCCGCCACCACAGCCCAGCTGATGTTTTCCTTCTAATTCTCATTCTTGATGTTTTCCTTCTATCCCATTTTACCTCTATTCTTTTCTTAAAATTTATATACCCCAGCAAAATCTTTCTGGCAATATAAAAATTACAATGTGGTTACATTCTGTTTTTCAAGTGAATGATTACAATGAATACAAAACAAACAGTAAAAACAGCATATTTTCCATATTCCTTACCTGATTAAACATTTTACATATTACAGGTGAAAAACAAATTATCCCAAGAACCCACATACATTCATACCCAAGCAACTTGTTATAGATTAACTGTGTGAGCAAGCAAAGTATTCTTCTCAGTCAGGTCTTTTACTGTCAGGCTGCATTTTGCAGTTACAAAGTCAATTACTTTATTACTTATCTTGGAAGATAATCTTATAAGGAATTTTAAAGGAATCACAAACCTAGACTTTTATATATGAAAAAGAATCAGTCAGCTCTACTTTAAATCTTTAGGTTGCATACCCACTCATCAATGGTTTCTTATATCAGGAGGTTGAGGGCGGAAATGAGTATAAGGAATTAATCATCACCTTTGGTCATCAACCAATCCTAGCAAGAAATGTGCATTAGCTAGTAATAATTAGGCCACTTTGTTCTTGTTCCCTGACCTCAATGAGTTCCGCATTCAACTATGGGCCTTTCTAAAACTTTAGATTATCTTCTTGGGTTTTTTTACCTCAAAGCTATTTGACAAAAACATCTTAGTTTAGCTTAAGTTATTTTCAAAGCTTTGTTTCAGCTATGATGCACTCTGAAACACCTCCCAACATTAAAGTTAAAAGAATTTAAGTTAGCTGTGCTAACTGGGACTCAATTGTTTTTCTTAATCATTAACCTAAGCCACAGTCTATATGGCTCCTCAACAGAAACTCATGTGTTCTAGCTGTGTGACACACTTCCTTGTATTTATTTTTATTCATCAAGACTCTGTACAAACTAACATTATTATTACTATCAATTAGGCAGTACAGCTTAGGAAGAAATTATCTTCATAATAATCCACAGGTAAAATGCCCAGCAGAACAGGATGTTTCCATGAGATAAACACACTACATTATAAGCAGTGATGATCTCCCCACACCCATTCACACCATGCCAAAAGTGCCAGAGGACAATGGCAGGGGCAAACATGTAAAGGCACAGCAGAAGCAAAAGACACTCTGAGGTCTGTGGTCTCGGGGCCTTGCCTAATCTGAGAGTCACCACCCATCAAGGAGTTACCTCCTGGTGAGCTTTCACCCTGAAGTCAACTGCCACCTGCTGCTCCTCTGACATGGCCACCAACACTGCTGCCATGCTGATGTCTGACTGGGACTTTTAATAATCTCTTATCCAAATGACAGTCTTCCACTCTGTTTTCAGCTTGTCTGATGTAGTATTTGTGTCTGACAGATCCATTGCACAGTAAATGTTTATGGAGCCCGTGTCCATGTCGACATAGCATTCAGCCTTTTATCTGGAACCTTGGGATCTGGGGGCAGGAATTCCCACACCTGTGGATGATGCAGCATCTGGTGCCTGGGTTTATCCTATTTGGAAAAGCTCATCCATCCATTTTAAATTCTTGTTCCAAAAGTTCTCTCCCTCCTCTTCCTGTGAAATATGCTACCATCTGCTCTCCATCTACAATCTTCTGTCCTTCACACTTTCACACCCACTAGTAATGCCTATGAATCCCACATATGCAGAGATGCCCTATCTTTCTGTCTCCTGACTAACTCTATTCCTTTTGGGATTTTGTTCTGTTTCTTCTTCTTCTTCTTCTTCTTCTTCTTCTTCTTCTTCTTCTTCTTCTTCTTCTTCTTCTTCTTCTTCTTCTTTTCTTTTTTTTTTTTTTTTTTTTTTTTTTGAGATAAGGTTTCTGTGTAGCCCTGATTATCCTGGAACTCACTCTGTAGACCAAGATCTCAGCTTCTAACGCTGAGATCCACCTGTCTCTGCCTCCTTGGTGCTGGGGGATTAAAGGCGTGCACCTGGCTTCCTTTTGGTTTTTAGTTTCCTAGTGATGTATTTTATTGCTTAAATGAGTGTAGCTAATTATTTACTATGAAGAGGGAAACAAACAAACAAACATATTCATGGGCTGGAGAGATGGCTCAGTGGTTAAGAACATTTTTTGCCCCTACAGAGGACCTGAGTTCAGTTCCCAGAACCCACATGGTGGCTCACAATACTCTGCAACTCCAGTTTCATGGGATCCAACATCTTCAAATTTCTGTTCATATCAAGCAGACACAGGTGCACATACATACATGCAGAAGTGCTGTGGAATAATGCTTTTGTACACTGGTTTAATAAAATGCTGATTGGCCAGTAGCTAGGCAGGAAGTATAGGCAGGATAAGCAGACAAGGAGAATTCTGGGAAGAGGAAGGCTGAGTCAGGAGACGCCAGCCTGCTGTCCAGGGAGCAGCATGTAATGGTACACAGGTAAAGCCACAGAAAATGTGGTGACATATAGAGTAACAAAAATGGGCTGAGTTTAAGGGTAAGAGCTAGTCAGTAGGAAGCCTGAGCTAATGGCTGAGCAATTTTAGTTAATATAAGCCTCTGTGTGTTTACTTGGGTCTGAGCGGCTGTGGACCAGGTGGGACACAGGAAAACTTCTGGCTACACAGACAAAATACTCATACACATAAAATGAATCTTTTGAGCTGGGTGTGGTGGTACACATATTTAACCCCAGCACTCAAGAGTCAGAGGCAAGAATGGAGTTTGAGGCCAGTCTTGTCTACAGAGTAAGTCCCAGGACAACCAGGGCTACATAGAGAGAATCTGTCTCGAAAAAAAAAAAATTATAAATCTTAAACAAAAAGCACTTCATTAAATGCACATGCTGCCTTTGTCACCAGGCTAGGTTCCTCTAACATTTTGACCCCTTTAGACTATTTTCTCTGTTCTTTTTCCTGCCATCTTCACTCTGAGCCCCTTAAACTTAACCTGTCTCCCTAAAACCCAGTTATATAGTCTGTGAAAGGGAAAACAAAGCTATACAGCATCTTTGTCACTTAGTGTGGTGGAATGAATGTCCCCCGTAGCCTTAGGCATTTCAATATTTGGTTCCCAGTTGGGGGTTCTGTTTGGATAGTTTAGAAGGTGTGGCCTTGTTGGAGGAAGTATCTCACTGGGGGTGGGCTTTGAGGTTTCAAATCCATGTGCCATTCTCAGTTCACCCTCCCTGCTTCCTGCTTGAGATTGAAGATGCGAGCTCTGAGCTGCTGTTCCAGTGGCTAGGCCTGCCGCATCCCTGCCATGACGGCCTCTTATGCTCTGGAACCAAGAGCCCAAATAACCCCTTTCAAATTTGCCTTGATCATGGTGTTTTATCACTTTAAAAAAAAAGTAATACAATCAGGGGGAAAAAATTCCAACCCTGACAGCATAGGGGTCACCAAAAGCACACTTAAAATATAGTGAAAGACTTGTCACTCCCATACATGTGTTCCATCTGTCTAGAAGCCCCAGTCATCACCATCTTTGATATGAATTTTTCTAGAGTTTCATACACACACACACACACACACACAGACTGTTACACCTTTCATTTTTCTTAAACAGGGTCTTGCTATGTAACTCAGGCTGGTTAACAGCAGTCTTCCTACTTCATCCCAGGCCCCACTCCAAGTGCTGATATCACAGGAGTAGGCCACCATAGCTGGTGGCCTCTCTCCTCCTCCTTCCTCTCTCTCTCTCTCTCTCTCTCTCTCTCTCTCTCTGTCTCTGTCTCTCTGTCTCTCTCTGTCTCTCTCTCTCTCTCTGGCTGTATTAGTAACTTTTTCACTCAGTAGATTCTGGACCTCTTTCCACATCATTCTTAATTCTTCTCCATAATTGTATACTATAGATCTCTAGGAAAAAACATGTACTTTTTGTGACTTTCAACCACGTGACTATACCTATTTAAAAACTTCAATGTTCTGAGAACTTGTGGAACAATCTTTATATACAGTATTGTATTGCTCTCATTGTTAATAAAAAGGTGATTGGCCAACGGCTAGTCGGGATTTTCTGGGCAGAGAAAATCCTGAGAAGCAGCAGCACAGAGTCAGAGAGTCTCCAGCCAGACAGAAAGGAAGCAGGACATGCAGGAGAGATAAAAGATACGAGCCTTGAGGCAGCACATAGATGAATAGAAATGGGTTAATTTAAGTTGTATGAGTTAGTTAGTAATAAACCTGAGCTATTGGCCAAGCATTTATAATTAATAAGTCTCTGAGTGGTTATTTGGGAAGTGGCTGGTGGAACAGAGCTGATCATGGTCTGGATGAAAGACTCCACCTACAAGGACTCTATTGGCAGATTATATCTATCCTTCCTGGAGCAAATGCCCAGTCAGTGCAGGCTGAATACATCCCAGACCTTCCTTGGGATTTCTTCACTCAACTCACAGCTGTAGTCTCCTATTTTCTGACTTACCTCTTCTTTGACTCTTCTCTGTGGTTCTTGAATTCCCCAAAAGTTCTGTCTCCAACACCTCTCCTCCTGCTCTCTAGACTCTCCTGCTGAGACTTAAACCCTTGCCTCTGTGTAGTCCCACATCTCCACATAGACCTTTCTCAGTCAGTTAATGTTCCTTCCTAGGGGTCCCGATCCAGTGCAATATTCTGTTGGCACCACTACCAACATGCTTAAAAGGGAACTCATCTTTAATCCAGCCTTTTCTACTGACTGCAGTGATACAGTTACCACCTATGGAGCTTGATCAGGTTCCTCTTCTCAGCCAGTTAAAGAATTAAAAGGCAGGGAAAAAAATCTGTAGCCCAACAGGCAGCAGAGGGGTAGATCCCAGACACAGCAGACATAATCTGCTGGTAAAGAAAGGCTTTTATTAGGGTTGGAGAAACACATGCAGTAAGCATGAACAAAGACCCTCTGCAAAGCCAAGGGGTGACGTGATGCAGGAACTGGAATTCTGGTCTCTCCTTGAGGGCTGGGCATGTTAAGGGTCTTTTAGATGGTCTTCCTACCCCTAATTTAGGGTTGGTCAATTTGAATAAACACAGGGAGGCTGATTGGTCCACAAGTTTGGGCTAAACTCATCCTGGTCTGACCTTAAACTTGTCCAGGACACAGGCAGAGGGGCCCTATTGGCTGGGGGGAAACATTCTCGAAGTCTGTTTTAAACTGTCAGGCTTTTGTCTTAGGTCCAGAGGGTGAGGAAGAAGCCAGCCACTTTGGAATTTTACCATTTTTATTATCTGGTCATGGCCCTTCTCTCTGTCTATCAGGGGATCTAACACAGTATCGCTTACACTAGACTGTATGTTACTAGTCACAGTGACTGGTGCATTAGCTACTTTTCTTATTGTGACAAAGTACTTGACTGAAACAGCCTGGGAGGGTTCATTAGGCCCCACACAGCAATGAAGGCATGGCAGTGTCAGCTGAGGTAAGGCATTAGGCAGCTTTGTCTGAGGTCAGGAAACAGACAGAGAGGAATGCTGGCTGATCTATCTAGGTCACTTCTGTTGCTGTGAAGAGACACCATGACCATGGCAACTCTTATAAAGGAAAGCATTTACCTGGGGCCTACTCACAGTTCAGAGGTTTGGTCCATTATAAGAATGACAGGAAGCAGGCATGGTACTGGAGGAACTGAGAGTTCTCCTTCTGAATCCATAGGGAGCAGGAAGAGAGAGACATTGGGCCTGGCTTGGGCTTCTCAAACCCCAAAGCTCACCCACAGTGACACAGTTTCTTCAACAAAGACACACCTACTCCTATTCTCCCTATGAGCCTATGGGAGCCATTGTCATTCAAGCCACCACACTCTGCTCATACTGTGCACCAGACCCTAGCCCCTGTGATGTTGCCACACAGAGTGGTCTTCCTTCCTCAGTTAATCCTCTCTGGAAACCTTCACAGGCAACACCTAGAGGTTTGGTTCCTGGTGGTTTTAAATCCAACCAAGGTGGCAGTAAATATTAACCATCCCAACTGGGAAGTGCTATTCAAATTCAGGGGCACAGTCAGCAATGATAAACGCTCAAGCATCTGGTGAAGTCTGGCATAGCAGGAACCTGCCTGCCCGAAATCCAAGGGGGCAAGGAGCAAACCACACATACCTTTATCCCAGTGGAATCTGATGTTATTTGCAGCAACTCATTTCCTTGCCACACAGATGGCTATCAAGCACTGCTGGTCCCACTTCTGAAATGTCCTTTTTTCCTCAGTGACTGTCACTGGCTTGGTTCATATATGAGCTTTTAGCTATATCAGCAAAGCCATAATATGGCTTTTGCTGTTTCCTGTTCCTCACATCTCTATGGGAACATTGGAGAGCGACTACTTTTCAGTAAATAACACAAGCCACACCTGCTATGGAATAATCCTGTACACTGTAAAGATCTGTCACTCAAATTGGTTTAATAAAAAGCTGACAGGCCGGTAGTTGGGCAGGAAGTTAGGCAGGAAAGCCAAACTGAGAATGCTGGGAAGAGGAAGGGCAGAGTCGGGAATCATCAGCCAGATGCAGATGAGAATGCTGTACTGAGAAAAGGTACCAAGCCACGTGGCTAAACACAGATAAGGATTATGGCTTAATTTAAGTATAAGAGCTAGTTAGCAATAAGCCTGAGCTACCAGCTGAGCATTTATAAGTAATATTAAGCCTCTGGCTACTGGGTATTTGGGAATTGGTGGGGCAGAAACAAATATTCTTAACCACTAAGAAACCCCTAATTACAGTTTAAAAAGGGGACAGTTAATGGACCTTCTTTAAACATTAACTTGTTCTGCCATATTTCTTAAATAATTATTGACTGCCAACATCTTCCAGCACTAACAGACTAGAGGACAGAATAGGAACTATGTGCGGGTTTAATAGTGAGTATTCATCTACACCAGCAGGTATCCATGCTCATTTATAGTAGGCTTTGTAGCAAAGCCAGAATTTCCATAAGAAAACAATCTGTACAACACACTGGCCTCCAACTCAGTTATCCACCTGCCTCTGCCTCCCAAGTGCTGGGACTAAAGATGTGTAACCATCACCACCCAGCTAACAATCTTGGTTTCTAATAGCTACACATGATTTCCAATTGAAAACCTGAGCTGGGCTCATAAAATAACTCAGACTGGTTGGTGGATGGTCACAGCAGAGGATGTCCTTACCCAATCATCTTAAGTGTAGTCCAGGGCTGGAGATGGCTCAGTGGTTAGGAGTGCTTACTGCTCCTGAAGAGGGCAGGAATTCAGCACTCAGCATTCACTGTGGGCAGCTCACAGCTGCCTGTCCCAGGCCCTTTTCTTACCTTCTAGGTAACCCACACACATACGCCATTCACTCACACAGATACACACATATATACATAAGTAAAAATAAATCTTAAAAAAAAAACTTCACTTTGGTGACAAATAGACTAAATTTGGAACAATACACAGAGGACTGTTGTGGTCCCTTGTACACCTTTTGCTTGCTGTGTACTTCATGAAGTCACTCATTCAAAACTGAAAGCACGGTTAATGTAGATCATGCTCTAGGATGTATAAAATATTGTTCTGATTCTGATACAAGGAAACCAAGTGTAAATGAATAACTTTACACTGTAGCTTAGTTTTTGTACTTTGGGGAAGAAGCAAGTCAACCTGCCTCCCAGAGCTTGAGAAAAATCTATATAAACCAGATGACACTCAACAGCTACATCATGTGGGCTGAATAAACTAAGCTGTGAACAGCCAAGGGGAAGAACAACTGGCCGGTGGTGGTGGCGCACGCCTTTAATCCCAGCCCTCGGGAGGCAGAGGTAGGTGGATCTCTGTGAGTTCAAGGACAACCTAGTCTACAGAGTGTGTTCCAGGGCAGCCAGGGATGTTACACAGAGAAACCCTGTCTTGAAAATCTGCCCCCCTCCAAAAAAAGAGAGAGAGAAAGAGAAGAGCAACTAACTAAAGGAGCTTAGGTCAATTGTTCTTTCCAGGGCTCAAATTAGAAGTTTAATAGCTAGACACGGTAGCACATGCTGTTAATCCCAGCACTCAAGAGGCAAAGATAGGCAGATGTGAGTTCAAGGCCAGCCTGGTCTACACTATAAGTTCTAGGACAGCCAGGGCTACACAACAGAGATTATGTCTCAAAAAGTGAGCACTAGGGCTGCAGATTTTCTGAAGCCTTGGTTCCATACCCTGGGCCAACTGACATGAGTCTTAAGGGCAGCCTTGGCACTAAATCTTGTTCTCAGTTGTTAGGACTAAATTATCTCCAAATTCATAAACTGAAAACTTACTCCCCAATATGGTGTTATTACGAATGAGTGTCTGGAAGGTTCAACCATAGAACACTCAAGAACAGGATTTCTGTTTTCTGCCATGTAAGCACCTAAGGACATAGCAGACTATACCAGACAGTGGACCTTTCCAGACTCCAACCTTCAGAACTGTGAGAAATAAAATTCTCTTGTTTAAACCATAACTATTTGTTATTGCAACCCCAACCAAGACACCATGGGCAACCAGGTGCACCACACATTGTAGGAGCAGACCTCTCTAGCTGTGACTCCTAGTACAAATTATTTTAAAGCTGAAAGAGGAAATATTGGTTTTTGTGATGAGAATTCATTGTACTGTCCAGTCTACTTTAGACTCCAGGGCCTGTGACCCTCCACTTCAGCCTAAGCAGCTGGAAATACAGGTACACACCAATGAACCTGCTGACAAATTTTAATAGTCACAGGCAATTGAGTTTGATTGTATTTTGTAATTATTTTTATTTAAGGACCAGTTACCTGAATAACGTAAGTGCATTAGAACAGGAGCAAAACAAATTCTTAGTTACTGAAATACAAATTTCTCCTAGTAAAACATGCAAAAACCCACACACATTGTAGATTCAAGACAAAATGTGGATGAATAGTGCAACTATTTAAGAATATATTGTAAATATACAAAACTGAGTATAAAACTCCAAACTACCTTTCAAATCATCTTTCAATCTTTTGTTTCACCTCATTCACAAAAGAAACTTAAAGTAGCTTGTCACAATGCTAATAACATATTTGGCCTAGTTCAGCCCAATGGACTATCTCATCATGAGATAGGAAAAATTTAAAATACCTTAAGGAGTTCCTCACCCCGCTCTGATTCATCACTAAAAAACGAAGAATACAGCAGCTATATTTATGATGTTCCCAGAGCAGCTGTGCCAGGGTGCAGTCTCTGGTGTTTGGTGAGAGCAGAGCGATACCTGAAGGCTTTTCCACAGTCACCACACCCAAAGAGCTTCTCTCCTGAGTGACTCTTCTGATGCTGAATAAGGTATGTGTCCTGGCTAAAAGTCTTTGGGCATTCATTACAGTTGTAACGTTTCTCTCCAGTGTGAGTACTCTGATGTTCACTTAGGTGCATGCTCTGGGTAAAGGATTTGTCACATTCACTGTACTTATAGGGCTTCTCTCCCGAGTGAATTCGCTGATGCTGAGTCAGATGGGAGTTCTGGCTAAAGGATTTTTCACATTTGTTACACTGGTAGGGTTTTTCTTCTGTGTGAGTTTTTTGATGTTGTGCAAGAGATGAACAGTGTCGAAAGGTCTTACCACACTTGGGACATGCATACGGCTTTGCTCCTGTATGAATTCTTTTGTGTTGTGTAAGGTGTATTTTCTGGCTAAAGGCTCTCCCACATTCATTACACTTGTAAGGTCTTTCACCAGTATGGATTTTCTTATGCTGAATAAGTGATGAGCCATAGCTGAAGGTTTTCCCACATTCATGACATTGATAAGGCTTCTCTCCAGTATGAATTCTTTCATGCTTAGCAAGAGATGAACTTCGAATAAAGGCTTTCCCACATTCCTTACATTCATAGGCTTTCTCCTGGGTGTGAGTTTTCTGATGCTGATTAAGGTTTGACAGATAACTGAAAGCCTTTCCACACTCACTGCACTCAAAGGGTTTTTCTCGAGTGTGAATTCTCCGATGCTGAGTAAGGGATGAGCAGTAAATGAAGGCCTTTCCACAATCACCACATTTGTAGGGCTTTTCTCCTGTATGAATTTTCAGATGTTGAGCAAGGGATGACCAGTAACTAAAGGATTTTCCACATTCGGCACAATCATAGGGTTTTTCACCGGTGTGTGTTTTTTGATGTTGAGTCAGGTTTGAGTGCTGACTGAAGGCTTTTCCACATTCATTGCATTCATAAGGCTTTTCTCCTGTATGAATCATATGGTGACGGATAAATGTTGAAGGCCCATTGAAGGCCTTCCCACACTCATTACACTTATAGGTTTTCTCTCCAGTATGAATTTTTTGATGTTGAGTAAGGTGTGTACTCCTGGTGAAGGTTTTTTCACATTCTTCACATTTGAAAGGTTTTTCTCCTGTATGAATTTTCTGGTGTTCCATAAAGTGACCTCTCTGGCTAAAGGATTTTCCACAGTCATTACAAGTATATGGTTTCTCACCAGTGTGAATTCTCTGATGCTGAACAAGATGGGTCCTCTGACTAAAGGCTTTCCCACATTCATCACATTTATAGGGCTTTTCTCCAGTATGAATTCTTTGATGTTGAGTGAGAGATGGACCCTCAATGAAACCCTTTCCACACTGGTCACATTTGTATGGTTTATCTCCTGTATGAATTCTCTGATGATTTATAAGGTTTTCACTTCGACTGAAAGCTTTGTTACATTCATTACATTTATAGGGTTTTTCTCCAGTATGTGTTCTTTGATGACGAATGAGAGCGGAACAGTAAGTAAAAGCTTTTCCACATTCATTGCACTTACACAGCTTCTCTTTTTTGACGGGGTGTGAATTCTGCTTGGCTCTTGTTTTGAGTGAAGTTTGTTCTAGAACTACTTCTGTTTGTGTTACAAGGCTTGAACTCACACCAAGACTGTTCTCACAAGTGAGTGCTGTTTTCTCAGTTACTTTTACTTTCCTTGACCGAGTTTGTTGGTTTGCCTGAAGGTTCTTTAAACTCCTATCAGATTTCCACGTTTCTAAGACACTGGAGCTGTAAGAATCATCCCTTTTGCAGCTGTTTACTACTGCCTCTGAAGACAGATGTTCTTTAGAGATGTCAAGTTCTAGGAGTGAAACACTATTCTCAGGTCTTATCTTCCAGTCTGAAAGAAAATAAAATGCCAGTATTTTCCGGACAGAGCAAAAGGAAACTGTCCTTGTTGGAGATTATCTAATCTTTTCAGGGTTCTCAAATATATAACCTTATTATTTGGTGAGAAAGTGGAAAGAGCTAAGGAAAATAAACCGAAATTGGAAAAAGATTGTTTACTTCAATTTTATAGATGATCTCTAAGGACCAATAAAAATGACATTTAAGGTGATAGTTAAATTTAAGAGGTGAGCTGGTTGTGGTGTTACACACTTTTAATCTCAGTACCTGGAAGATTGATGCAGTACTACCACACTGGTGGCCCCCTCCTTCTTGCAAGTGACACCCTGCTCCAGTGGCCTAAGTGTCAGCCTGACCCCACTGCTACAAGGTTGGCTGCAGTCACTGAAGGCTCTGAAGACCTTCATGCATGACAAACCCCATGTGAATGTGAGTAGCACTGGCCACATGGAATCCCAGGTAAGACTACCCTGACCACAATCATCACAAAAATTCCAGCTGAAGGAGGTAGAGCTAAGTTCAAGAAGATGAGGACACAGACAGTGTCTCAGAGGAGAGTTTCAGGTATCACTATCAGTGCAGCCCATGTGGAGTCCAGCAGTCCTGCCTGCTCCTCTGCCCACAAAGACTTCCCCAAGCATGGAGGATCACTTAAAGCATATGACTCTGGTGGTGACGGCAGATGATGGTCCCATACCCCAGATGCAAGAGCACAATGGCTAAACAGATTGGGGCCAAGCATGCCGTGGTGTATATGAACAAGGCAGACACTATGCAGAACTCAGAGATGCTGGGAGATAACATAGGTGGAGATCCAGAAGCTGTTCACCTAGTTTGGCTATGAAGGAGCAGGGACTCCAGTCATTACAGGCTCTGTGCTCTCTGTGCCCTTGTGGAATGTGATTCTGAGCTAGGTGTGAAGTCAGTGTAAAAGTTGCTGGATGCTGTGGATGCTTACATCCTGGTGCTCACCTGGGACCTGGAGAAACACTTTCTGCTACCCACAGAGTCAGTCTACTCTATTCCTGGCTGGGATACAGTGGTGACAGGTACATTAGAGCATGGTATTTTGAAGAAGGGAGATGTGTGTGAGTTGTTGGGATATAACAAGGACATTCGCACTGTGATGATGGGTATTGAGACATTCCACAAGAGCTTGGAGAGGACTGAGGCAGGGGATAACATGGGTGCTCTGGTCTAAGGTAGAGGCAGGAGGATCTGAACATGGTTTGGTCATAGTTCAGCCAGGCTCTTCTACCCAAAGCCACCAAAGGGTGGAGGCCCATGTTTACATCCTCAGTAAGGGGGAGGGTGACCACCACAAACCTTTTGTGTCTCATTTTATGCCTGTCATGTTCTCCCTGACTTGGGGCATGGCCTATCATGTTATCTTGCCTCCAGAGAAGGAACCTCCCATGCCTGGAGAGGACCTATGCTCAGCCTATGCTTGTGGCAGCCCACGTTCTTAGAGAAAGGCCAGCACTGCACCTTGCAGGATCGCAACTAGGCTACTACCACTGTCCCCATCACTGAAACACCTTCCATGACAAAGGAGAACAGAATCTCAAATGGAAATGAGCTGAATTTCTGCTCAGGTTCTTGAGTTCAGGGCTGCCCTGGTCAGTGTTCCTTCCTGTGGACACAAGCTTCGTCCAAGAATGAGTACAATGAACACATCTGCTCACAAGAAGTGGACTGCCACTTGTAATGTAGGCAAATAAACCATTCCATGAACTTAGGGGGGAAAAGGTAACCAGAGACCACTAAGGGTACAAAGAAAAGGACTGACTCTGAAAGACGCAGTATGAATTGAAATTCCTCATTAATGAGCAACAAAGCAAAATTTTAAGAATGCTGATGTAAACTCCAAACAAACAGGAGAGACTTAACAAAGATTTATGACTGTTAGCCTGGAAATCAGAAGTAAGAATTCCATCTTTGCTAAAAATTAAGAGTTGTAAATAGGAGAGGAAATAATTTATGGTAGGAAAGATAACAAATTCAAGTCTACCATTTTGGAATTTGACAAAAAGAAATGGAGGATTATATGGGTATAGGAGTGGAAGATGCCAGAAGCAGCATTATAACAGGATGTTTATGTGTAAGATACAAAATTTCAGCTTAAGAGGAAAGAAAACACTTGAAGCCACAGGAATATATATAAGAACAGGACCGGTGAGGAAGACCCTCAAGGATGATAGGATAAAAGAAAACATCCTCCAGTTCCACTGGCAACAGGACAACGGTAAGAAAAGACAGTGTATTGTAAGTCCAGTCACAACCACCACAAGCATGAACAGAATGGCAGACCTCATGCTGCCCACTATCTCCTCCCCATATCTCCATAGATGATGGACAGTGGGCAGCAGTGTAGGCAGAACTATCTCCTCCCCATATCTCCATAGATGATGGACAGTGGGCAGCAGTGTAGGCAGCTCCACAGTGGCAGAACTATCTCCTCCCCATAGCTCCATAGATAATGGACAGTGGGCAGCAGTGTAGGCAGCTCCACAGTGGCAGAACTATCTCCTCCCCATAGCTCCATAGATAATGGACAGTGGGCAGCAGTGCAGGCAGCTTCACAGTGGCAGAACTTGAGCAATTACAGTCACTGCAGCACAGCTTTAGCAATGTGTTTCAGATGCATGTGTTCACCAAGAGGAATGGTACCCAGGGAAGTAGGTTTGTATAGCAAATAATCACAAAGAATATCTTCTGAGGCTGCTGAAATGGCTTCGTCAGTGAAGGTGCCTGCTGCTGCTGGGCCTAACAATGAGTCAATCCCCATGACCCACACAGAATGAGAGAACGGACTATTGCAAGTTGGCCTCTGACCTCCACACAAACACATGCACTCCTGGCCAACACACACATAAAAGAAATGCAACAAAGAATATCTTCTGGATGTACTGTAGGGTGAAGCACAGAGTCTTGTGCTGTTAAGAAAAAGAACACAGAGTCTTGTGCTGTTAAGAAAGAGAAAAGTGCTTGATAACCAATCACAAGTATGAAACATATGAAGGCAAAGTGACATCGACCACAACCAATGTCCACACAATGTCACATACTCTATTCAATGATCAAGAGAATTATCTAGGAAAAGAATGAAGGATTAGAGAAAGTTCTAGAACAGCATGCTGATTACTACCACACCTCTCACAAAAGCAATCTATACTTTTCTACATACAAAAATCTATGGGCACTGACCAACATATTCCTATACCCAGTATGTGGAGAAGTAATTGAGGACGTTGATAACCAAGCTGCAAAAAAAACAAGCAGACCAGTGAGATAAAACACACATCAGGATTACAGGTCTCCAAGACATCCTCAAGAAGGAGGCAACTGGGGGCTGGAGAAGCAGCTCAGTTAAGACCACTTACTGTTCTCGCAGTGGACCTGGGTTTGCTTCCAACACCCACAGAGTGGCTCACAAGTGCCTGAAACTCCTGTTCCAGAGGATCTAACACCCTCTTCTGACCTCTGTGGGCACCAGGCCTGCATGTGGTAAAGAAACATACATGTAGGCAAAACAGTCACACACACACACACACACACACACACACACACACACACCACAAATGAATAAATAGTATTTCTAAAAACTAAAGTAGAAAGTATATTAATAGGTAATACCAAGCAGAGTAATAAATTTCAGAGATGAAGGTCAAGGCTGAGACAATTATACATTCAGACAAAGATAAAAAGGAAAATTAATGAGCATAAACAAATCTGCCAAGAACTCTGGGATAAGTTCCATAGACAAAATCTAAGAATCTGGAAAAGGAACTGAGATAAATTCTAAAGGCACAATTTAATGGAATTATAGCATAAAATTATGCAAACCTACAAGGGGGAGAAAAAAGAGCATCCATACACAACAAGCATATAGAACCACAGACAGACATAAGCAACATGAGATAGTCAAGACGTCAAAATTACAAAATACATACATACATATTAAAACTGTATTATGTGGGGAAAATACCAACTCACATACATCAGAGAATTATCAGAATAACATCAGATCTCTCATTGACAACCCAAAAAGCCAGAAAAGTAAGTTGATATTTCAAACCCTGGAAGTAAATTAACCACTAAGATTGTTACCTTGGGGCTGGAGAGGTGAGTCAGTGGTTAAAAAAACTTGTTGCTCTTGCAAAGGACCCAGGTTCAGTTCCTAACAGCCACATGGTGGCTCACAACCATCAGTAACTCCAGTTCCAAGGTTTTGACACTCTCTTCTGAGCTTCAGGCCGTGTGGGCACCAGACACACAAATAATGCACATACATACATGCTGGCAAAACAATCATACACATTAAAAAAAAAAGAGAGATTGTTGAGGCTGGAGATAGCTCAATGGTTACAAACACTGGCTGTTCTTCCAGAGTGCTGGGTTTGATTCCCAGAACCCACATGGAGGCTCACAACTGTCTTAAACTCCAGTTCTGAAGATCCAATGCTTTCATCTGAATTCCAGGGGCAGTGCATGAATGTGGTGACAGATATACATGTATACATGGAGGCAAACACCCATACACACAAAATAATAAAATTAAAAATTAAAAAATTGTTATCCTCAGAAAAGTTATCTTTTCAAACATTTCAAGACAAGCATGTGGTAGTTTGAATGCAATTGGCCCCCATCAGCTCATAGGGGGTGGGCACTATTAGGAGGTGTGACTTTGTTGAAGTAGGTGTGGCTTTGTTGGAAGAAGTGTGTCACTGTGGAGGTGGGCTCTGAGGTCTCCTATGCTCAAACTACGCCTAGTTCAGTTTACTTCCTGTTGCCTGATGATCAAGACTAGGACTCTCAGCTCTTTCACCATGTCTTCCTGCACACCACCATGTTCTTCCAGGATAATAATGGACTAGACCTCTGAAACTGTAAGTCAGCCCCAATTAAATGTTTCCTTTATGAGAGCTGCCCTGGTCATGGTGTCTCTTCACGCAATGGAACCCTGACTAAGACAAAGTGCAACCTAAGGCA